TCTGTGATGGATTGTGTACTTAAGTAGAAAGGGTTTGGCCAAATAGACCCTAAAGGTCTCGGCCACATATATATATATATATACGTACATATGCATAGGTGCAAAAAAGAAATACATATGACATGCGCGACTTCGTACTGCATTGCAGGATGATTTGCCACCTCTGGATATGTCATATGGCTTTTTTGAGACAGCGGAGGGCTGCACTTGGAGAGCACATTCACAAGACCAGCAGCAACGTAGTCGCTCAATCCGGAGCAGGAGCGACCGTAGATGCACCTTGACAACCTGGCGCAACCAGGAACACAGAAGACGAGCCAAATCCAAACCCCTCGAATCAAAACCCCAAAGCCTGAAGTCTTTACCAGGGAAAGAGCAAGATGAAGTGGCCGAGTGGCCCCAACCTCTCACGGGCACGGATATCGACCGAGCCCGTGACGGGTGAGGTTGTGGAGTGGAAAGGCGACCCGGCGGAAATTCCTGATGATGGTTTATGGCTCGTCCGTCGGCCTTCGGACTGGACTTCAATGAGCCTAGGTGTACGACAAAGTTACCTTCGAGTTTCGGTGTCCCTTCAGGCAAGTATGGCTGGATACAGCCCACGGTGCCCGTGGAGCATCCTATGTCCGACAAGCATCAGGCCTGGGGTGGGGTCTTGGGAGCATGGAAGAGGACCTAAAACCCTGAACCCTAAACCCCCACTTAAGGCTGAGCCCCGAAGTTCTACAGCTCTCTAAAATTCCCTGACAGGGAAGAATCTATGCTGCTTGGCTGAACGGAGCAGCCCTTGCGCCTCGGGTTCGGTAGCGGTAGCGTGTTCGTATACCACATCTCCTTGTAAACACAGCGATACTCACAAATCAACGCGCGCCCCAACACGTAATTGTCTTAAATACATATTCAGACAAATGGGCAACTTGATTTTCACGTGAAAAGTCTGTGTCTTCAGTTTTAAAGTGTAAAGCAGGAATGGAAGCTTGAGTATTTGCCAACATTATTCCTTGAAGCTACTTACTCAAATTTCACTATACCATACATTCTCGCTCCAGTATTCCTTGCGCTAATTGCACTAGACCATACGTTGTTGCTTAAGGCCTCCTCATTCTAATTCTGTTATATTAAACTGCATTATATTACATTATATTATAGTATGCTGTTTGCTGTTTTATTTGCATTATATTATATCACATGATATTATACATACCCTAAACCCCAAACCCTAAACTTCGCGGTGCAAGGCGAGCAAGGCAAAGGCCCCCGAACTCCGAGAGCTCAGGTCAGTATGAGCGACCTTCAGGGTGGCCTGGAGGTGCCCTCCCAAAGCTGTAGGGTTTGGGATTTAGGGGTTTAGGGTTTTAGGGTTTTAGGGTTTTAGGGTTTGGGGTTTAGGGTTTAGGGTTAAGGGTTTAGGGATTTAGTAGTTGAGATTAGGGTTCAGGGTTAAGGGTCATCGTCGGAATTCGGAATCAACCCCACTCCGTGCTCGCAGTTAGGGGCTGGGTTTGGAGGTTTGGCACTCGCCCGATCAAGCGAGCTCTTTTTTCTTGCGGTTTTCTATTTTCAGGTCCCCCCTAACACATGGCTGAAGAGAGGAGCTCGAGAAAGGACTCATTTGAAGTCCTACTGCAGAGCATCCCCTACGTTCTCACCGCAAGATTTCGGGAGCATGGTCGCAGTCCTCAAGACGGCAACATGTTTTCTGTCCTTTGGTCTCCACTCTTGCTGTTCCTGCTGTTGCTTAACTGCTGTGCTTGATATCCGCTAATATGGATGACATGGTCAAGTCATCTATGCCCTCATCGCAACCTGTTTTCCCGAGCATCCCAATCAGTGTCTGGGATCTGTCAGTCAATCCGACAAGACAGCACAACGAACATATGGTCAGCAAAGATCTTCATCAGTTGTCGACAGTGTGCCGAAGCTCGCACGTTAGCCGCAACCTGGACCCAACCTCCCGCATGTCCAAAACTCAGTAGTTCTAAGAACACCCCAGACCTTCTCAAGGGATAGAAACCCTACGCCCCAAAACCTACAAAACCCTAAACCCTAAGCCCTAAACCCTAAGCCCTAAACCATATCCCTAACCTGTCATCCGAAATCTGAGCCTCAGGCCCTGACGGTTGGCAGCCTCTGCCAGTTCCATCTCTTCCAGGACCTTGGGGGACTCGGGTTTTGAGCTGGGCAAAGTCTCCGAAGAGGGCCTCACAAGTTTGGGTTTAATTTTGAGCATAGGCATGAGGAAGATTATATCTATATGTGTACACAAAAAACACATATATATATATACATATATATATATACATGTATATGTATATGTGTGAGCCTGTGATTATGTATATTATGTACATGTACATGTACTTGTATATGTATGTGAACATGGATATGTATGCGTACACGTGTACGTATATGTATATGTATATGTATGTGTATATGCATATGCATGTGCATGCATATGCATGTGCAAGTGTATGCGTATGTGCATGTGTTTGTGCATGTTCATGTACATGTCGATGAGAATGTGGGTCTGCATATACATCTACATTCATGCATAAACACAAGCTATGTGCATACGCATACATACACTTAGACATATACACATGTCTGTCATTTGAGCTCAGCCTAGCGTATGCCCAGGATGCAAGCGGTCTCGGAGCGGAAGAGGTCATCGGCTCTTAGAGGACTCGAGCTTAGGGCCTAGGGTTCAGTGTGTAGGGTTCAGGGACTGGAGATTTTGGGTTTGGGGCTTTTGGAGGGGGGTCTGGTTGTCTTGGGGTGTAGAAACGGTCCTGCGCAGCCCGAAGTCCTGAATATTCCGAAAGACTGAATCCTGCGCTTGCACTCTACCAGCTCCGAATCCTCAGCCCCGACGTCTCAACCCTCCATTGTACTGAAGCCTGAAACCCTGACCCGTTAAGGCCGAAGCTCCCAGAAAGTCCCCAGGTTCAGGAAGACCCCCGAAATCAGCTCTCTGCCAGCAACTCCGGGCACCCAGTGTGAAGGCGCGGTTGCCTCAAGCTTGGGGTTTTGAGACTTAGGTACAGGGTGTCAAGTTGAAGGTTGAGGTTTGGGGGTTGGTGCCGCTGCTGGTGTTCGCCGGTCATTGATGGCCTCTTACGAGCAGCGTTCTTACAAGGTTTTCTTGTCCCCCGTCGATTTACCTACCTACCGACCTGCCTGCCTACCTACCTACTTATGCAATGCTTGCTTGCCTGTCTAGCTTCCTTGCATCCTCCATCGTCTCCAACCCCAACCTGAACCCCTAATACCGAACATAAACCTGCAGTCCAACCCCAAATCCTAAACCCTCAGCTATGAATCCTGGACCTCAAATCCAAGCCCTAAAGTTACTAAGCCCAACCCCCCAAAGCCCCAAACTCCAAACCCCAAACCCTGCCTTGAGGCCAACCTGAGCTTCGCCCGTGCCACCAAGAAAAAAGAGGTCGCAGCCGCATTCGAAGGTTCGAGGGCCAACGCTGAAGGTGTCAGGATCACACTGTGCCCATTAACAGCGCACTGCTGCTACTGCTGCTGCTACCGCGACTGCGACCGCTACTGCTACTGCTACTTCTACTGCCAGTGCTACTCCTAGTACTACTGGCAGTACTCGTGCGGCTAGAACTATTCGGGCTGCTGCTGCTGCTGCTGCTGCTGCTGCTGCTGCTGCTGCTGCTGCTGCTGCTATGACGACGACTGCTCGCCACCAGCAAGAAGAACAGCATCAAACGCAACAGCATGCAGTGTGGCAGCAGTGACAACTTCAGAGCTGCAAAAGTTGTTTCATTGATGGCAGCCGCGATTCAACACTTTCAGCATGGAGTAGCCGTGATGATTGCAGGGAGAGGAATAGCAGTCGCTCGTCCTGACAATGGTTAGGATCACTGTCATCCTCATGCTCATCATCATCATCATCATCATTGAATCATCATCATCACCCCCACCATGTAGCTTAGATGTGGCGCAGCTCAGAACTTCCCTACAAACGTAGGCAGACGAGGTCGTCAAACTTGCTGCTGTCGACTGCTATGCTGCCTTCACCACTGGGCAGTACCGGAATCCTTGGAATCAACATTAACTGACCTCGGAAAGGAGATCCTTCACGGATATTGTAGACTGTCGTTGCTGTGGGCCATCGAGAAGGGGAGCACCCCGCGCTCGACATCTCAGCCGCAGTCACTGAGGCTTGAGCTCGATCCCGTTGTACCCGCAAAAGACTGCCCTCTCCCTATCCTAGTGTGTTAGGGTGATGACAGTGCAGCAGAAACCGCATGATGTCAGAGACGCCTCAGTCGCAGTGATAGTGGGAAGCTAGCAGGGAAGTTGCAGGACACACAGACTGCACTTTGCCACTGACAGCCCCCCAACCCAGCTCTGGCCTGCGGCCATCTCCCAACCGACAGCGAAGGCATGAACCCACGGCCGTCAAGCACATCAGGAATCTCCCGAACCCGACCTTGCTTCGGCCTGGGCGACGCGAGCTGCATGGTGGCCTGGCGATGCCAGTGCCATCACAATGCAGGCGGGTCCAAGCTGCAAAGCGTGTTTGATCGCCAGGGAGCTCTTGGACTTATGGCCGAATGGCCCAATGAATCTAGGATTTGAGAGTTTGGAGTTTGGTTGTCGGGCTTTTCAGATGAGAGTTCACAAGTGAAGGAATTTGCAGACACGTAGATTTGATCCCCCTTGCGGATATTATTGAGGGTATATATGCACCTTAAGCGCACCAACTGTAAAGCGATCCGCGTTGTCCGCCTCGACCCGGTCGCAAGTAGGGCTGCCGGGTTCTTGTGGTGTGGCACCGGAAAACCCGAAAAACCTCTGACTGCTTCCTTCGAGGCCGGCAAGGATATCTGGTACTCGGAGCCTGCGGCCGGCTACAAAAGGCTGCGAACGCAGCCTGGCACAGATCGGTGAGAGTTGAAGGGTGAAACTTACCTTGCACGGTATGAGAATTAGGGTCTAGGGCCGACATGACATACCAGCTGCAGTCATCGCATCGCTCCGGCATTCAACAAAACTTCAGCCTTTCCGTAAGTTAGCAGTTAGCAGCCCCGCGTGTCACACCAGAGGATCCCCCGATCGAAAGACCTTGCTGCCAATGATTGCAGCGAAGCTATGTTGGAGATGAGATCAGATCAACCCATTCAGAGAAGCGCAACATCACTCATGCCAGGCAGCGTACGCACCACTTGCACCATCCTCTGAATCATGGCTCTGGCTGTAGCCGAGGACCCCCACCGCGTGGGTTCCTAGACTATCATCTCAAGTCGACAAGAACTCCGACGGACCGCGCCCTCCTTCAAGTGCTTGCCTTAGGGTCTTACGGCCTTAGGGCCAGTCTTTTTGCAGCTTCATATACTTCGTGTATTAAATCGGGCCAAATGCACGCGAATCTTGCCCTAAGCGCTCAAACTTATGCGAGGGCCAGCGGGCACTGTGTGTTGTTTTTAAGGGATCTCTTGGACCAGTACCCGAATCCAGAGTCATTGTTCGAGTTCGTGGAGAGCTGTGAAACTTGGAGTCTTGCCATTGTCGATCTGAAGCTGTAAGTGCAGGAGTTTGATGGACGAAGCCTCTATAGGAAAGGTCTTCGTTCCCGTACGCAGGCGTAGTGGCGAGTGTTCAGGGCCGAGGCCAAAGGCTAAGCGGCTGTCAGTATGTACCCCTGTCGTCAGCACCTCCACCGTCCTCATTGCAGCCGAATCCGAAGAGCCAGGCGCCTGCCTGAGACACTCGGGGTGGCAGTGCTATCGTTTTTTTGTGTAATGGAGCACGGGTTTACAATCAGCACAGTTTTGCGGCCATCGCATGTCATTGCGCCAGTGTTGTGCCCTATCGTATGACACTGCATGCGGGTAACCGCTCAACATGTTCCCCTGTCTGGCAGTATTGTCCGATGCATTCCCTCGATAGATAGACTAGAGTAGATCCGGCTTCGTTAAGTTAGATAGATAGATAGGCAGATGTATAGGGAGATAGACACAACAAGAAGTATATGTGCTCACATGCAAACAAACATGCAGATATACACCTTTACGTATATACATATGTACAGGCAGACTGACATAAACACATGTACACTCAGCACATATGGAGACATCTTTTTCCTCATGTGCCTTTGCACGCAGACATGGATGCGTCTTGTCTTGTTAAGTATGCGGGCACAAAGACATACATGCGGGTGTGTGCAAACTTATTCGTGCGGGCACCCGCGAGTTAGCATGTATTCAATGGTTCAACACATTAACCTGCAGTAGCCAAGCACAGAGTTGTGGAGCGTCATGTATCAGACCAGAATGTTTCGGGATGTGGCCTGCTGTGGTCGTCCAGTGGCCTTTTCCGTATTCTTGCACTGTTTGAGTCTGAGTTCTGCCCTGGTAGAAGTTCTTTCTATGAGAAGCAGTGGCAAGTCAGGCGAATCTGCCTTGTTGCGTGCGTGTAGCTATGCTGAAAACCATGCCGGCGAAGTACCAGCGATGGTTTTTGCTGCTGCCGATGATGGTAAGTGATGATGGTGATGATGATGATGATGAGGATGATGGGGATGATCGGGATGATGATGATGATGTTGATGGAGATGGTGATGACCGTGATGCTGGTGATGGTGGTGACTATGAAGGCAATGATTTCATGCTGATCGTTAAGGCTAGATGCCGATGATGATGGCAATGGTGATGATGATATTGTGGATGACGATGTTGTATATCACTTTCGCTGCGAGAAGCAGGACGGCGATAGGGATGACGAAGATGATGTTGTTGACGACCTTGACGACGATAGTGAAGACGATCAATATGGTGATGACGGATAATGCAGACGGTGAGCAGGATAGTCGTTATTACGTGCAAGTGCATTGTCCAGTTCGAGTCTGTAGCACCGTGATCTAGTCGTCGCTATTCGTCACCATCCTTCCGTTATCCCTGACCATCTCTCGGTCGGGCTCGCTCTGTTTTTCCCTCTGTCTCTCCCACTTTCCGCTCGGTTTGCAAAACGTACATCATACGGAAGACAGGTTCAGTACATGTTACCAACATGCCATGACGCAGTTTCAGATGCCGTGCTGATGCTGTACATCCTGGTATACATGGTTAGCATATTCATATGGCATCCTGTGTTCTGTTTAAGCTATTGGTCTGGCTTTTGTCTTGCTGTCAATCTGCTCCTTCTTAGTCTACATAGAACTGGATGTCCAGAAATGGATGTGGGACTGGTCTCGTGTCAAGCACTCTGATAGGTGTGGCCGGTACGCTCCCGGCAATTCAGGCGCGGCGTGTATAGCTGGAGTGCCCTAAACCCTAAACCCTAAACCCTAAACCCTAAACCCTGTTGTGTCCGATTGTTGAAGCACTGGCACGGAACCCTCTCCGACTCGCGAGTGTTCTGTCCAGTTTGCTTTGCTGGAGATGGAACTGTGTCAGTAGATCGGTTTGGCAGCTCTGGCCTCGCAGCAAACCAACGCTAGATGTAGCGCCGCGACGAAATTTATCAATATTTCTTTCACAATCGCCGCAGGGAGAAGCAGAACCGCTCACCCAACTTCCTGCTAAACCTTGCAATGAAAACGGCCAACACCACAATGCCAGCGGGGTGATGCCTCGGTGTGGGCGCTAGAGTCAGAGCCGAGCTCCCAAACTGTCAGCCCCCAACCTTGACCCCCTACCCTTCCCACACCCTAAACCCTAAACCCTAAACCCTCAACTCTAAAGCCTAAACCCTAAACCCTAAACCATCAACTCTAAAGCCTAAACCCTAATCCCCAAACCCTAAACCCTAAACCCCCACACCCACATCCAAACCCAGCAGCGGAGGAGCTCCACGAGCAGGGTCTGGGCGCCCAGGGCAGCAAAAGCTCTTCCGACCGCTGCGCCCGATCTTGCCCAGAACCTCCAAAAGAAGCCCCAGGCACGCGAGCAGCAGCGAGCGTGCATCATACGACGGCAGTAGCAGCGGCAAGAGCAATACTTATGATAGTTCGAGCAGGAGTAGCAAAACATAGTGAACAGCAAGCAAAACTAGCAGTACTGGAACCTTGCAGTCTTCTAAACCCAGAGATCCCCATTGGTAGAACCAGACCCAAACCTTGCGCAGAATTGAGTCATGTAGGTTTGAGACCAGGGATCTTCAGCAGCGGTGACGGCAGCTACAGTTGAGCCGGTTACCATTGCGGCAACGCTATTGCCAGTACTCTTAAGGCATGTATACTCGACTTGCAGCTTCGGTCATTTGGTTCCCGTGGTCTTTGTCCATGTTAGCAGGACCTGTATACCTGCCCGCCGTTATTGATATTATCATGACTGCTAATGGTTGCTGCTTTTGTTTACGACTGCTCTCGCCTTACTAGTGTTACGATGACGAATTTCATCACTGTCGCCGCTGCTCTTGATTACCGTTGCTCTTGCGATTATGTACGCTGCCAAGTGGTTGAATGTGGATAATGGCAGCACGATTGTGCCTCCAGGGTGGTCTTAGTTCTAGTACAACTTGCTGCAGGCTCCCCTTCTTGCCCAGCAATCCTACACTATCCTGCGTTAGCAGTTGTGATCGCAGTTGGAATAGTAGTCGTTGTAGTTGGAGTTGTAGGAGCAGTTTTCGTGGTTGTTGTTGATGGTGGTGATGATGATGCTGATCATGGTGTTGTTGTTGGCGGCTCTGGCGAAGGTGTGCTAGTGGTAATGGTAGTGATGGTGTGGCAGTAGTAGCATGTAGTAGCTGCAGCGCAGCAGCAGCAGTAGCAGTAGTAGCAGTAGCAGGAGTAGCAGGAGTGGCAGTAGAAGTAGCAGTGGTAGTAGTAAGGATCAAAGTCCGTAAGCCCCGCCTTTACGTTTCCTATTTTGTCCAGTCTCGGCCGGCTCCAAGCTACGTGCCTGCGCGGCCGCCTTGCGCCCGGCTTGTGTATGGTCATTACGTTGAATACAAAGCTGATACCAGTAGCACCGACAGTGGTTGCCTGTCAAATCCGTGGAATGCATGGGAGTTTGCTTGCAAGATGCGATGCGATGTGAGAGTCTGTTGAAGCGACGTTAAAACTGGATCGGCTGCCATGCCCTGTTTATTTTGCATGCCGGACTTCACGACTTGTTGGTCATAGTCATAATCATAATCCACAAATCTTCTGGCTGCTTCATAGTTTTTTGGGCATGGGACAAAAGAAGAGCATCCATGCCTGTGAGGAGCACAGCCAAAAACTGAATTGGACAGTACATCCGAACCCGAGACGTAGCATCGGATCCGCGGCTCCAACACGTAGGCCACGTGCAAGCCTCACGTAGTATAGCATGTCTGCATGACCACGAGACAAAATGCGGCGGCATGGCACCAACTGTAGAAACTTTAGGCCAGCTGCCTGCGGCTTCAGTTTCCTACAGCGTGCAACAATTGCCTGGCTTCTTTTGCAAGATACTTAAGAAGACTGAAGGCTTAGGGCTTATGAGATTTGGAGCAGCTGCAACTGCCGCCAGGAAGTATGCTCCATCCGCTGTTCCTCCCGTAAAGGCCGGACCTTTCGTTTGTTCGTTCCTGTGTCCTACCGTCGAGTCTGGGATACGGCGATCGGCAAGCCGAAGGCGAGGAACTGTGACAATCTAGCTTTGACGTGTGTCTCTTCGCTATTGGTGTTGGCTTTACCTGTGGGCCTACTGTATGCATCTCTCCATTTGTCTGCTCTCTTAATGTCTCACTGTCTTTGCCTCTCTCTCCGTCTCTAAGCGCAGCAGCTCGAGAACCGTGCTCAACTACTTGAACACACCAAAATAGTGTGATGATTATGAATTCGGTTAAGTGGCTATGCTACGGACGTCAGTTACACTGTCTCTTTTACTTCAGCAATCATCGCTTCCAAGGGAGCCGAGGTTAGGCAACCCTTAAGGACACAACGTCTTGGTGGCCGCAGATTCGAGTGTGAAGTGGCTGGTTGCGTTCAGTACATGGGCATTAGCTGGCTTTTTGGCATCATTGCCTTCATGCGGTGCGAGCACACCGTGTGGTAGAGTCAGCGGCATGTCCGCACCTCCCCCACTGCCGGCGTCTTTGGCCCTGCTGGGTGACGCATCTGATTCTGTTCTGATGGTCCCCAAGTAACATCTTCCCCTGGGAGGCTCATGCCTCTATTCGAGCTTGCTGGGCACGCACCGACTGGAGATCTGGCAGTAGTGTGCCCTTGGATCCCGGTCAGGATGTGTGCTGAGAGGTTGCTGCTGCATGGATCCTGGGTGCAGGCGATCTTTGAAGATTGCAACACATGGACGTGGCATCTCCACAGCTCCCGGGCTGGGTGGTACAATTTACAAGGGTTCCGATGTTGGGGCCATTCGAACATGGGCAGCTCTTCTTCGCTTCTTGCTACAGCTTGGCTGCAGCAGCCAATCCAAAATTTGTGCAGGCAGCGTCTCTGCGTTGACGGGCAGCTTTAAAACTTTGCGGTCGAGTTGATCGGCTCGAGCGCACGTGCACACTTGTTTTCCTGCGGAGTTGTGATCTTCGGGAATGTGGCGACGCTCGCGCTGGATTGTTCGCTCCCGCCCCTTATGCAGCTATGCAGGTTTGTGGTTATGCGGGCCTGCAGTGCAGAGTGTCGGTGATGTCTCCCTGAAGGTTTGTTTGCAGGACGGCAAGATACGCACTCATCTACCTTCCAGGCGTAGTTCGTTCTTTAATGAGTTTTGCGCTTCGCTCCCCTTAGCAGTTAGCAGTTGGTTTACTAGAGTGGGAGGTTTGGCTGGAGTGGGGGCACGCACCGGGTCTCCTGCTAGTTTTGGCCGGATTACCTGCTGGTAGATCCCCGCCGTATGCGGAAGTCTCGTCAAAGAGGTGAAATCACAGATTTGCGGCTGGCTCAACTGGGAAACACGTGTTCTGCGAATTCAGTTTCGAATAAAATCGTCGCCCTTTCTGCGTTGTAGCACGTTCTCATACTGCCTACCACTATAGTCTAAAGTGGCATTCGCTTCCAGCTCGCTGTCCTCCGATCAAGATTCAGTTTCTGAAGCGTGCAAATGAGGATCTCGTTTTTTAGTGCAGTTTTCCAGCAACCAAGTTTCGGCTTGTTGCAAGTTGGCCAGTTCGTCCTTCTGTTCCCAACAGTTCAGGCAGGTTCGGATTCTAGGAGAGACC